TCCAAAGAAGTAAAACCAGAATATGTTCTTTCATCTTTTTTTTTCTTTTACCTCTAATTTGAAGGAAAGGAAGGAGTGATTTCTGAATGTAAATAATCAAACGACTTTTCTCCTTATAAATATAACTTTCCTCTGTGACAAAACCAGGACTTATTTCTGGGGCACAGAGTACTGGCTGTCCCTACAAGGACAAGCTCATCTAATAGCGAAGGGGGCTTCGTGACGTGGTGAAAAGGAGCTGCTGTGTGGATCAAAGCACTGGAAAGATGGAAACAACCGTGACTTGAGAGAGGTGTCCCTTGGAGTGTCCAGGCAAAGGTCCTGGGAGCCACCCTGCTGGCAGAGGGGAAGGGAGGCCCCGCCAGGTCCCAGGCTGTTTACAGAGTTCTGTGATAGGGCTAAGTTGACTTCACTGATATTTACAGCTGGTTAATGGGAATCAGATGTTCCTTTTGAACAACAGGAAAGAAAGGGAGAAGTTATTAGAAACAGATATTCACGTTCTCTCTCTTAAGGGTCTAGAGCAAACCAAAAAAAAAAAAAAATCACACTTCGTGGTATTTTTCTTCAAGTCATGAAAACGTACCACTTAGCCATGGTCTTAGGCCAAGAAAATATGACACTAATTGAATTAAGAATGTACTATTGGGGGCAGGGGAACTATTGAAAATGCAACTTCCTTCCAAGTAGAGGCATTAAGTCTGAGCAGGGCTCCTCACAGAGGGAGGGGTCCATTATAAGCTGTTCCTTTGGGTTCAGAAGCCTCTCATTTTGCTGTGTGTGGGAACTGTGCCCTTGGGGCTGAGCCTTAACATAGAAAGAAGGTCCCACACAATCCAAGTCGGAACCTGGTACCACGGGCACTGCAAGGCCCCCAAAGCCTGGAGTCAGAGAACCGGAGTCTACAGTCTCTGCAGCCAGCGGCCGGTGCGGCCTTGGGCACGCTGCTCCATCGGCTTCATTCTGCAGGGGGAGGGACTCGGAGGCTCAGCTCCAGGAGGTTTCTTCCCACTATAAAATTCTATACTTCAGACATGAACTGGGATAAAATCAGATGGAAGCTCCAACTCTTCCTTAGTGCAGTTCTGGCAGGCACAGGACAAAGCCCCGACAGGAGTACTGGGCTGAGTCCCAAACTGTCACCAGGGCTGTGGAATGGGATTCGTCTGGGCCAGCGTGGGAGAGCGGAAAGTCACTTGCAATTTCCCAGGCCTGGCTTCTCAGGGACCCTCGAGAAAGTGAGTCTGGGCAGCAACATGGTCTCCTGCCTGGCTGCTCCTGTGGAAGACGGAGTCCCTCACTGCTCCAGGAGGGCACACAAGGCAGGCCACACTCTTCTTCCTCATGCTCAGCAGCGGTCCCCCAAGAGGGCCCTTTGGAGCACTTCGGGCTCTCCTCTTCCTGGCATTGAGGTCTCTCTCTCACTGGCCCCTTGCAGCAGAGTAAAGAGAAAATGACTGTGGGCTCCTGGAAACCTGAGATCCAATCCTAGCTTTTCTGCTTATCAGTGGGGAAACTCGGAGAAGTTCTTTAACTGTGAGAGGCCTCAGTCTCAGTCTCTGTAAAATGGGATTAAGATTAACAACCTCCACAGGAACTACTAGGAGAGCAAATGAGAATCTAGATGGATACTCAGCCTCCACAGACGGGGGCCCACTCTCCCTTCGCAAATCCATTCTGGATCCAATCCCCTCCCCCCGGCACGGCTTCCCCCTGCTCGAAGCTTTTGGGTTCTCATTGGGCCTGTTGCTTTCTCCTCATCTCCACCTGTTCCAATCCTCTCCAGCCTCCAGAATTCAACTTAAAGACTGCATCTCTCAGGAAGTGTCCCTGGAGACCTTGGCCTCATGTGACATCCCCAGAGAATGTGGTGTTTGAGATCCAGGACGCGTGACATGTTTCTGTCCCATTTTATCATGACTTGTCTTTTCTCCCCTACGAGGCGAGATGGACAGCATCCAGGCTGGCACTGCACCCGGGAGTGTGGCCAATGTTTGTTCCTTGAACAAACATGGGTGTGCAGGACCACACGGCAGCTTTCTGTGCCCCGGCTTTAATGGAGGCGACACGTTAGCCACTGCTCTGAAGGCAAGCACCCATCAGAGCGAACAGCCCAGGCCAGAGCGTGAGGCGCACTCGGGTGAGGGCAGCACGAACTTCTGCAGGAGGGGACAAGTTACGTGAGGAAGGCAGCCACAGAAAGCCACAGAGAAGCCCAGGCCCACGGCAGCGGCTCCCAGCTCCGCCCAGACACAGCGCCAACCTGCAGAGACCGAGTCCGTCCTGTGCGGCGAATCAGACTTTTGGGATAAAAGAAATCGGAGGAAGAGCGGTGGATGTTGGGTGGCTGCCATGAAACCTGAGAAAAAGTAATAATAAACAACAAGATCCCTTATTCTGAAACCCTAGAAAATAAAAACGCCGAGAAAGAAACCAATTTGATAGCAAACGGCAAGTGACATCACTTCCATTGATGTACATGTGCCATTTGGGGGTCAGTTTGGGGCCCAAGTTTAAAGCATCTTAACTCGTCTTGAAATTACAATATCCTTATCTACATCCACCCCCCTTTCCATTTAGTCTGGCTCGAAGGGCTGACGGCATATGAAGCCAACCCAGAGGCGGTCATCAGATTCTGTTCTTACAAACGCCCCATGAGGTCTTCAATGACAAGAATGTGGATTACTTGGGAGGGCTGCTGAAAGATCCTTAAAACATTTTCATTTTGCTATGGAGACGGCGCTGATGTGACATGTGGTGAAAGGCCTAGGAACCTTGGCTGGGGATTTGCGATGTGTGGACACACCCTCAAGACAGTGCAAGACTCCATCTTCTCTTCAGACTCTGCTCGCCTCTCAGCCCTACCAACACCCCTGGGCCCCAACTCTGGGCACCCTCCGACCCCTTCCCCAGGGGCGCCCTCCTCCTCACTACTGGGCTTCCCAAGGACAGTCGGCCAGAGTGCGGACCTGGCCTCCCAAGTAGTGGATGCCAGGTTCAGGAGGAGAGTGCTGGAACTCTCTGGAAAGCTCACTGAGGGAACAAAACAAGAGCTCCTTTTGGCCAGAATGAAATATTTCACTAGTTGTTTTCATAAGCGTCTCCAGAGAGTTTCATGGAGATGTGAATCTTTATTTATTTACTTACTTATTTGTTATCATTTTAGGAACATGGGTCCCAAACTCAAGTTATCTTTATAGAAAAAAAAGATGCACATTCCATTCAGTCTGGTCTCATGAGCACGCCTCAATTTGTCCCCGGCCCCTCCAGCCAAAGATTTCATCAGGGATTAAGTAAAAATGACTATTCAAAAAACGAAAAGCAAGCCTGTAGAGAGGGGAAGATGTGCTGGCTCCCTGGGTGGTTTCTGGGCAGCAGCCTCAGCTGTGCTGTGAATCGTACATTCTTGGGGCAAAAGTGACAGTAAGTACTGTCCTTAGTGTTCTCCTCTGTTATGAAGATAACTCATTTCCCAAGCATGCATGGTTCCTCTAAAGCCCCTCGCCAGTCTGGTGACAACATTCAAGAGAAATCCCGTGTGCTCAAGTTGAAGTTGTGTGTCAGGAAGCAGAACAGAACATCTGGGCATTCGTGGGCAAATCCCTCCCCTGCTCATATTTTTTTTTTTTTTGTAGTTGGACACAATACCTTTATTTTATTTATTTATTTTTATGTGGTGCTGAGGACTGAACCCAGGGGCCTGTGTGTGCTAGGCAAGGGCTCTGCCACTGAGCCACAACCCCACCCCAGCCCCTGCTCATTCTTACCTTTATTCAATTATACTAAGAAAATTTTTCTTTTAACTTCTACTTAAAATCTGCTCATAATAACTGTGAATTCTAAGAGTACTACTTTTGTTCAGGGTTACAGGCAAGGGACAAGTTTCTAAAATATCCAAGTGGCAAAGTGTCTCTATCTGATATACAGATGACATCTGAAGAAGAAAAAAGAGAGAGAGAGAAATAAAAGCAAAGGGGAGAAAGCTCCTATGCATACGTCTGTTGCAATGAAGAGAATAAATAAAAGGCACCAGAAAATAAGAGCTGCGATTACTCAGGTGGCAAGCAAAGGGATCTGAAATCTGAGAACCATTTCTCAGAAGCCTAGTCATCCCTTCACAAGTCACACTTCGGTGACCAGGTCCCACGGGTGAACCATGGCTCTGCTGGAATTACACACGTCACGTAACACAGGCCTGCTCAGGGCAGATAAGAAAGCATTCCACACACTGGAGTCAGCCTCCAAAATAAATCCAGATCATTCTTTTCCTTGAGATAGCAAATGCTGTGAGGTCACGCTCCCGTGTTTCCATTGTACCCTCAAGTTAGCTAAACTGAGGGACTGAGATTCAGTCTGATTATTGCTCTGGGGGAAAAACAAACAACAAAACAAAAACCTTCATAGACCAGATGAGAAACTAGGGACGTGTGATCAGGATCCAGATTATAATCACAACGTGACAATGGTGTTTGCTTCTGAAACATAAAATACTGTCATCTGGAGGAGTTCTGAATATCGACCAACCTGCATGTCTGAGCTCGTCGTCGTTATTTTCCCCTAAGATTTTATCTGACAAGTCATCAATTCGGAGCTGGAGGTTGTTCCAGTGAGTTTGGATTTGAGAGCAATGGATGGAAGCAGGGCATTACAGGCTTAGTACAAAGCCATCTTGCAGGAAGGTCACCAGATGTTGGCTTTAGAACCAGGTGAATTATTTTTCCCCATCTGCATTGACTTTTGCTTGAATGCCTTAAGCTGACCAGAAAGGCAGGGCTTACTTTATCTAACACAAAGCATGTGGAGTAAAAATCACAACAATAAATTTAAGGCAGAAAAGAACCCCCTGAGCTGGCCAAATGGCCTTTGAACTTGGTTTGCTATGAGAAAAAACGAATCAGTAAAAAGGAATTTCACCCCAACCCTTGCCCCAAGAATTTGTGACTATGAAACCTGTGGCCTCCAAATGCACCTGGCATTATGGCTCTAATGGTTTTCCTTACCCGCAGTTTTTCCTCTGTCTTGGTAGATTGCTTACAGTCGGGATGCCAAACGGTGGACCCTGGAAAAACATGAAGCACCGCTCAGAGTAAAGGAAATGGAGAGAAGCTGCAGTCCTAGTGAACTGAGCTTCTGAGAGTGGCTCATATTCCTCTTTCCCTGTCATAGGAGAGCGTTAGGGCCCCATGCCCAGGTGGCTTATGACACTGAAGTCAAACAACTCTAAACCCTAGGTGAGGTTTCCTCATCTGGCCCAAGCTTGCTCATAAAGGTCATAGTTCTAGATCACAAGAATGGTTTAATGCAAGAGATATTTTAGCTCTTGACAGGTCTATTTAGTTTTTCTCTTTAAATCATATTATTATCCTTTAAAAGTAATGTCTGAGTGCTAGCTACATGCTGCATTTAATTTCAGAAATATAAGCCATGTTGATAGAACATCAAAACAATCAAGCTATTTGGTTGGAGAAATAAAGTCAAACTAGGTAGTCTATATCCAGAATATTCTGGCTATAGATAGTTTGTATATAGAAGATCCAGAAGTAAAACTCACTAAATTCTCATTGACCCAATTCTATACTCACCTATCCTGAAGCAGGAAATTAAAATAACTGACAGCCAGGTTAAAATTACATTATCAATTCTGCAACCGCTTAATTAACTTTTTTAAAAAAGTTTTGGTTTTAAACTAGTCACACAACTATTTTGGTGTTATTTCTTATACCTGGATCAATAGTTTCTCAGACTATGAAGTACTTTCATGGGTAGAACCCACAGCACAGAATTAAGCAAAACACTTACCTCTTAAAGAAAGCTCTTATCTCCAGAATCCAGGGCCTGGCATATGATTATATAGACCATATATGTACTATATGTCATCTATATAAGTATGGGCCATTTATACCACTATGCAAGTTCCACATCCGCCTAAGAGTTTGTTCAGATATCGGGAGGGGCAGAAGAGTCTGAGCACTTAAAAAACCCAAGTCAATCTTTTTCTAAGTGGAAAGTAGCGAGAAATTGACACACATAACAGTCTCAGCAGGAACATCAATCTTTCTGCATTTTATAGCTTCAGTCTTGATTTCTTTAAGCATAACCTCTGTGTTCTTGAAAGTCACCAATATTAAACTGACCTAAATTGCTTTATACCACTGAGCTAAAATAATATTCAATTAATGACAAGGAAATATATTTCATACCAGAAGAAAACTGTAAACTCTGTTTAAAAATCACCTCTACCTTGCTTCTCCCAGAGCCAAAAATAAAAAAAGAAAGAAAACCAAACAAGCAAACCCCAGACAGACACACCGGTCCCTTCAGCACTAACTCTGGCTCAAAGGCTAACTACAAAGCACAGGAAATCTCTTAATGTGGAGAGCCGAGGCAGGCCGGGAGAACCTTCGCTGTGAAGGTGCTGCTGAGTGGGGGCACTGGCCGGAACATGGTCTGCACACAATGGCAGCATTGTTCTCCAGAGGTCAGACACGCCAGCAATGTGACTCTCAGATGCTGAGAAAGATGAAACTGCTCATTCTTCAAGGATGTGCCGAGAGGGCAGGCAAAGGGTACCACAGCACAACTCCAGAGATGTAGAACAATCCCTGGAATTCTAAAGGTGGCCCGTCTTGTAAATGTGCTATATTTGTGCACAACTTGAAACCACCCTCCTGCGTTCAGCTTCCAGAGCCGCTGTGGACGTGCAGAACTGCACCCGAGCAGACACAGGTTGACGTGTACGCCTGTGTCTGTCCTGGGAGTAAGTGACACACCAAAATCTAAAAGCAGGCCCAGAGACCACATGGGGAATCGATCTGCTTTGTGCAGAAAAATGCAAAGCGACACCTGCCTATTGCCACTATAGCTGTACAGCCTGACCTTGGGAACACATGTCCTATGAAGCCCCCATGAGACCACAGATGCAGTGCTTGTCTCTGGCGTTCCCATGAGGCCCTTCAGCATTCAGTGGTGTTTTCCACTGCAATTTTTCAGAGTGGTCACTCTAAAGCTGAAATGACACTGGGTTGTCCATTTCTTGCCTTGCCAGCAAATTTCGAGGGAATAGCCAGGACGGTCCTTTAACCCTCGAAAATCATTTCTACAGACTTTCAGTTGCACAGAAAGAAAATCGAGAGAGCAAAGCAAACCATTCATTAAACAGCCGCATGGTGTTATGCGTAAAGGGGAGTGAAGAAGAGGCAGGGGAACCGAGACCCGGCCATTATCAGAACTGAATAAGCAACCGCTCTTACAGTTCTCGCTAATTTTCCTGATGAACCTTGTCTAATTAATGACTCTTTTTAAAGATAAAAATAGTAGAATGTTTGTGCAGATGGTGCTGTTTGGCTGGTAGAGAATCTGCACCTAAATCCTCTCTGAGAGGCTTTGGGATTTGGGACAAAATAAAAATGGATCATCGTTTCACACTGGGAACATTCCTCAAAATTATTTTCAATTAAGAAAAATCTAAGGACTCCCTGGAAAGGAGTATTTCCTTGTCACCAGAAACGTCTCTGTTTCTTGTGTAGGGACTTGGCCCGTGTGCTTGTTCATTCCCTATTTTGATAGGAGAACTGTACTGTTTGAACAGGATGAAATGTGTCTGTGGGGGAATGCATCAAATGTGAGCTTTTCTTCTGGAAAGCCAGAGAAGAGCATGTGGGAGACTTCAGACCATCCTCCCAGGACAGTGAAAGGAGAAAAGGAAAAGGAGCCACCAAATAAGAGACACTTCCAGAAATTTCTAGAAAGCTTTCTCTTCTTCGATCTTCTGTTTCCCAAACATATTCCTGAGGAGAGGTGGGGGGGAATTGCTGATTGCCACTCTTCCCTCTTATGGAACGTGGAATCTTATTCATTCTTTCCAAGCAGCAACACACTCAGCTCATTTGTTAACAGCCCCAGGGGCTCCCAGCCAGAGAGCAACTGCTTGGCTGATTAAAGCTAACCCATGAGGTCACTTCTGGCCGCATTTGTGTTGGATTTGGGTAGCCTCTCAGCTAATAAAATGCCTCCTTCTCTAAAAACAATTCAACAAACACAGAAGGCTTTCTCTCCCTGAGTGGGAAAGAGTCAACCTTACCTTGAAGATACATCTCTTCTCCTTCTGTGAACATCTGGTTGCATCTGCTGCATCGTGCACAGCTGGGGTGATAATGTTTGTCACCTGCCTGCAAGAGAAAAGGCCGGGACATTTAGCCGGCTCCTTGACATGGCTCCAGGCTCTTTTTTGGATTTAGAAGAAAAGAGAAGATGCTGAGACATGGAAAATAATTGACTGACCAAACTCCCCACAGTAACAGCCCTATAGTGAAAAAGCTGACCTCCACCTCGCTGGAACTAGAAAGGCCCGAAGGCCAGCTACTTGTACCTGCCACAGTGGGGCTGCCTTGCCCCTCAGGAGTCTTGGCTTCCAATTCTCTCCTGTCCTGGACTTGCCTGGATCATTGCCAGTTACACACCATATGCCTGAGATGAGTTGATGCCATCTCCCAAAAACCCCACCTCAAAAGCAGGAACACAGAAATTCATGTTGGAAGCTAATGTCAGTTTATATGAAAGCAATAAAAAATAAGTGATCTTTATACTTAATGTGTTCTTGCTTTCCTGGCTTAAACATGAGAAATGATAAAATCTACCCAGCATGCAGCAAGGCAAGAAACACCATCGTAAAAGACATCATTCACTGCTTTTTTGCACAGAAGGAGCCCAAATTCTCTCCTAAGCCAAGCTCTTGTGTTAAGAGTTTTCTGAGGAAGCACATTACTGAGGTAGCTCTGCATTATTCTCTGGCATTTCACATACTTAAATACGACAGATGTCATCACAGTAAGTGTTGACTACCCCAAAGCAAAGTGTCACTGGACACAGGGACAATTCTCTAGACAGGTGCCAAGTCACATTAAAGTCATGCTTCAAATGCAAGCTAGACAAAACCACAATACTTTCATTCAAGCTTAGCAAAAAAATTCTTCACCATCTAAAAATTATCAAATGTATTTTATCATTAAAACATTTTTATCAATCAATAATCATCATCCCCCCCATCCCCACTAAACCACATGCAAAGACAGCACTGAGAAAGTTATGGCTACTTCCTGCTTCTGAACCTGCGTGAAACCCCAACAGGAAATTAGAGGTCAGGTTGAGATTTCATTCTCACACCCTCCTGCAGGAACTACAAAAGCCCCTTGGCAACCAGAGCATGAGATGTTGTCAGCTCTTCAAGATGATCCAAGCCAGAAAGAAAGTTCTTTAAGTTAAAGCTAGAAATGACATCTTTTCACTGGTGCCTGCCAGAAAATCCCAGAAAAGGTGTTCTTGTCCACTTGCTTTTCATTTTTTTAATTATTTATTTTGTGTTTTTAAAAATTCATTCATTAATTAATTTGTTCTAATTTGTTGTGATAGCAGAATGCATTTAGATTCATAGTACACAAATGGAGCCCACTTTTTCATGTCTCATAGTACACAAAGTAGAGCCACACCATTCGTGTCTTCATACATGTACCTAGGGTAATGATGTCCATCTCATTCCGTAGTGTGGGTGTAGTGGGTAGTAATCGCCGCAGGGGGTGTGAGAAGTAAGAGAAGCAATGAAGTAGCTTCTGCCCTGAAGACATCTGGTTTGGGGCTGGGGCTCAGCAGGAGAGCGCTTGCCTAGCAAGTGCGAAGCCCTGGGTTCAATCCTCAGCACCATATTAAAATAAATAAATAAATAAAATAAAGGTACTTTGTGCAACTAAAAAAATAAATACTTAAAAAAAAGACATCTGGTATCAAATGGAAGTGAAAGGAACAAGGAAGAAGACTTTAGTTCTAAACAGGCTGGCTCAGCTAGGACTTCAATACTGAGGTCCAAGTTGGTTTGGACAATCCTTGGATTCTCAGGGACAATGTAGGTGAAAGAATAAAGGGTCCTTGCTAGGAATCTGGTATAGTTTGCAGTAAAAAGTACACCCTTCAGTAAACTAAGAACAGAAAGAAATTTCTTTGGGCAGATAAAGTGTCTTTATCATATATAATAGTGAGACATTAGAAGTACACTCATTAAAGATAGAAACAAGACAAAGTTCACCGATACCATTTCTACATTGTTTGGGTCTTAGCTAATGTGAAAAGTCAAGAAAAATAAATAAATATAGTGATCACTAATAGAAGAGTTCAGTTAAGTGACTGGATTAAAAAATCATAAAAGAATTATTTCCTATCCATTAGTAATAAAAATTAAATGTAATGGGAAAACAGGTCTTTGTTTGTAATAGCAACAAGTAAGCCCTCCAATGTAAGATCTGTATAAAGATGCAGGGTGTAGTGGCACATGCCTGTAATCCCAGCAGCTCAGGAGGCTGAGGCAGGAGGATTGAGAGTTTAAAGCCAGCCTCTGCTACTTAGTGAGGTGCTAAGCAACTCAGTGAGACCCTATCTCTGAATAAAATACAAAATAGGGCTGGGGATGTGGCTCAGTAGTCCAGTGTCCCTGAGTTGGATCCCTGGTATCCCTATCAAAAAAAATCTGTATAAGGAATAAATTATAGAGCTTAACTAATGGATATAAAAGGCCTAAATAGAAACATGTAATATTTCTGGATGGGAAAATTAAATATTATGAAGATGTTGATTTATTTAAAATGAACCTGTTAATGCAATGCATTTCTAATAAAAATTCTCAGAGGAGTTTCCTTTGGAAACTTTGCAGGGAAGGGGGAAGCCGTAGGTTTCCTTGTCATATGGCTTTTCCCCATAAGTTCCTATGGAAGAAAAAGAATGCACAAAAATAAAAAGACATTTTTTTCAAAAAGAGAGCACCAAAGAGAGGGAATTTTCCTTTCCTGATATAAGATTATTTTCTAAGGCTAAAATAATTAAAGTATTTAAATATCAGTGTTAGGGGGGAAAAAAATCAATGGAACAGAAGACCTGTTTTATACTCATACATACAAAAGCATTTAGTTTGTTAATTTTGATATTTCAAATACACTAAAAGAATAAATTATTCAATAAATGATGATGATAGCTTAGTGGTAGGGCACTTGCCTAGCATGTGGGTTTGCTCTCCTGCACACCAAAATAATTATCAATAAATAATAATAATAAAGTGATGAAGACAATTGGTTCTCCACTTACAGAAAGATAAATCTAGATTCCTAAATCATAACTACACAAAAACAAACTTCAAAGAAGTTATAAAACTAAAAGTAGAAACAAGATTAAAGCAGTATAAGAAGAATATATAGAAGGCTTTTGCAATAAATGTGGGATAGGAAGGCTTTCCTAAGGAAGGAAAAACCCAGAAATAATAAAGACAAGTACTGACTAATTAATGCACAAAACCCCAAAATCTCTATACATAAAGAAAGAAGACAAATAACAGAAAAATTTTTTTGCCACACATTTCAGGCAAAGAATTATTCAGAATATATTAAAAAATCCCTATAATGAAATAAATTAATGGCATATGAACACAAGGGAATTTTCAGAAAAAAATGTAGATTATCCAAAAAAATAAATAATTTGTTTAACCTTATCAGTAATCAGGGAAAAACAGCTTTGGCAGGGGGTGGATCCATCAAATTGGCAAAGACAAAAAAAAAGACAGTGTGAGGAAGAAGGCATTGTGACACTGTTGGTGACCAAAATCCTTCCTGGAAGGCAACTTGGTCATGTCTATTAAGATTTAATATGCACATGCCCTCTTACCACAATTCCATCTCCAGGAAGAAATCCTGCAGTTTCCTACGTATGTGCCCAAAGGTGTAGGTACTAAGGATAATCAGTAATATTTCATTTACAACAACAACAAAGAAACACAACACAACCCAAATAAGGAAGCAGTTAAATGAAATGGTGAATCTTATGTAACCCCTAAAAGAACAAACACTCCTTACATACTCACACGGACAGAGTTCAAACAAATATTTGGAGTTCACGATTTGGAGTTCACACTAATGATGCTAATGGGAAAAAAAAAGCAGCAAAAATACTGCCTATTACAGAGCCCTATATAAAGTAGTGGCAAAAGCATGGTGAACTGAATAAGTGCGACTGGATTCAAATCCAGATTCAGGATTTGAAGGCAACATGCTCACAATTTTCAGCATCTACGTCTATAAAATGGGTGGAAGAGTTGCAATCACCTCCTAGAGTCAAGGAGAGGACTATTAGGACCCTAACATCTTTCTTGGTGCCATGATAAGTGCTTGAAAATACTTACATGAACCCCTGATCAGTCCTCCAAGGCCGGCAGTGTTGCCATTTTTCATATGAGAGGGACATACTATGTGTATATGGTTTTTTTTTAATGAGTATCCAGGCATGGAGAAGAGAGAAGAATGTCAACCAATTAGTGTGCTACGGTTACGTCTGGGGAGAGAGGTAGGAATGGGCAAAGAGCAGCCTTTTGTATCATCTCAGCTGCTGACAACAGGAATGTGTTTTCATGTTACTCTGTAATAGGACCTAGAGGCAAGAGCCCATGACCCCTCGAGTCACAACACCTGGGCTGGAGTTTTCACCTCAGTCTGCACTGAAATACCATCTTGGGCAAATCACAGGCTCGGAACTTCTAGTGCAGAGAAGATATGACACTAATAAAAATGAACTTTTTATTGGGCTTCTTGGTGTCCGTTACTGTTTTACATACTTGATAAACATTTAGTGAATCTGCCTCGATCACCTGAGGCGGACAGAACTGTGATTACCCCTACCTGAAATATGAGAAGTCTTGACATATGAGGTCTGGAGAGGTTTAGCAACTTGCTTGTGGCCATGCAGTTAGAAGTGGAGGGTATATTCTTCAATAGAATCAATAACCGTGCAATACTCCACCGCTGTAACTGCCTTACATTGTCAATGGATGAAGAACTGAGTGACATTTTGAAAATGGTGTGATGTACTGCACATAATAATAATGATGATGGTGAATATGACAATCTATTAGCTCTCTGTGCAGAGATGGTCTCAGGGCCATTCCTAAGACTTGTGAGTATGGCTATACAGATGCCACCTTTCCCAAACATAGGCATAGGAGAGTGAGTATGTTGGGTCAACTGTCACACAAGATGGATGGAATCATTAGCACAAACCCTGCTAAGAAATAAAATCATCACACTGCCAGGACAGCTGACTTGACCCGTGCACTTGCTTTATGCCAAGATTCTGAACACATCGA